GGAGGGGATGGGGACCTTTTTGGGCAAGATCACCGGCCCGTCCAGTGGGAAATTTCCGGGGGCCAATTTGGGTCCCCGAAGGGAGACCCCCCAAATGGGGAGGCCACCCTTCCCCCGAGGGACGGCTTCCGCGGCGGCGGGTGGGGCTTCCCTTTGGGGGCGGCGGGGCCCCCCTCCCGAGGACGAGGGGGAGCTGAATCCCCTCGACATGGACGTGATTGACGTTTCGTGGATGGACAACAACGTCCCCTTTTTGAGGCACAACTTTTGGAACATCAACCGGTGCGCAGGGGATGGGCTTTTGCCCCGCGCCGAGCAAGCCTTTTGTTACGCACCGAGCCACGGGCACGCATTTTTAAAAAACGCTCGCCTTTTTTTTTCAAGCTGCTCCCGTCCCCCCGCTGTAGGGGGATGATTGATGACCTTCGGGATATCCTTTGCACAAAGGGGCGCGGGAGGCACCTTCCCGCGCCCATGACTCCCCGTTCGGGCAACGTGGGGTGCTTTTTGGGGGGGCCGAGCTACGTAGTAAACCCTTGCCCAAAGAGAGAGGGGGAGTCAGGAGTCGTTTCGAACCCGAGGGGAGAGTCAGACCCGAGGCCGGCTGTAAATTACGTTATACCCATTTCACAGGCCCGCCCAAGATACGGGAAACTTGAACGTTGAGGGTGCCCCCCCCCCCCCCCCCCGAAAAAATTCGCGCTCTGCGCTTTGTGTGTCCCACAGAGAGCGCCCCGTCCTCTCACGTGTACCGCCCTCACTCGATGAAGGTGTCCTTCTCACTGCGCGGCCAAAAGGCGGGAAGCCCACGCCCGCGGTGCCACATATGGAAGACCTGCGAGGTTGGCGCGAAGGAGGACTGCATCTCGCACATCTTGATGAAGACGACGACCGAAATTACGTTCCACCGGCGGTGGGGAGGGAGGTCATGGTACCCACCGAGCAGCCCCGCCTGCTTGAAGGGTGCCCATTCCGCCTCCCTGTCGAGGCCCTCGGCGATGAGCAA